AGGGCAAAGGACAACTCTTGTCCCAAGTGAGGAGCACAGAGGCAGTCATGAGGCGGAGTTAAACAGCCCTCTGTTCTTTGGTATGTAGGATGCATAGGGATAAGGGCTATGAAGTTTTCTGCGTTAGGTAGGTGATGCTAGTTTCTAATTTGGTACACTTTATGCAGGTTTTATAAACAATTAAGTATTTGCCAAAATTTAACTGCTTGTTTTCATGACATCTTGAAACTTTTCTTGGTGTGTTGTCTTCGGTCTTTTTTTTGATTAGCCAGGTGAGCTTTACCACTTTGTGTTTGCATCTTGGATTCTGACCCAGTCCCCTGGGATTGAGCAGAACTGGCCCCAGATCTTCTGCCCGTGGCCCTGCCTGCTTCATGTGGTCTTGGGTAAAGTGCTCCCCCCACGGATGATATCAGGAGACCCACTGACATAAGCAGGTTGTAGGCTCCCCAAAGTTATGTTTCAGAAGAGAAGTCAAGTATCAGAGAAGTCTGTGCCTCACGTGATTTCACTTTGTGGTTTTAGGAAGCAGGTAGCTCTGCCATTACTGTCATGGACTTTATTGCCTTTAGAAAAAACTGAAATTGATGATACCTGAAAATGTCATTTAAATATTGCAACAACAAAATAGGGACACAAACATCAATCATTTTATTTCCCTCTCACTTGCCTGTTTCTAAGACGCCTCAACTGCCTTGAGGAAGGACTGGGAGTCATTGAGAATAGACGGCAGCCTGAAGCCAGGAGCCACTGTGTTCTTCGCCTGTGCTGGCTCTGAGGCCACCCATGCAAGCTGCCTCCTTACCTATCCATTTGTTTCTTTCTGCAGTCTTTTCCCCTTCAGTTAAAGAACCTGCAAAAGTATGATGGGTGCTGGTTAGGTGGAAGTAAGAACTGAATAGGAACCAGCTATTCCTACTACGGCACATTCTTTCCTGCTGCCTGTGTAGCTCACTTAAGTTAAAACTGTTCAGGGTGCTTTCTTTATGGAATTCATCGTTTGTCCAGTAAGTTTGAAGCACTTCCTAACACATCACACCTTCTCCCAAATACTTTAGGATAACAATGAATGATAGATTAGAATTTGTCCAGGAAATTAAAGGGCTAAACCCCTATCTGTGATCATACACTATTTATAAATCGGAAGATTATGTTCAAAACATACACATATGTATTAGCAATTTTGAGAAACTATTATTAAACAACAGTTATGCTTTTTCTCTGTGTTAGTTTGTGGTTTTTAATCACAGTTGTGATTTGATCTTACAAATTATCCTGCTTAACCAAAATCCTTGTAAGAATGAATTATTTTATAAATCGTACCATCTAATCAATAGAGGTTGGTGACCCACTTTTACAGTTGCACACCTATGATCCCAGTACTCAGGAGACTGACATAGGTAGCAGTGAGTTGGCGGGCAGCCGGAGCCACATCTGAGTTCAATTCCAGCCTTAACGACATAGCACAACCAAGTCTCAAAAATGTTTTAAGAATGTTTTAAATGTAAAATTTTTTGAATCTAAAAATGACAGTGTCCTTCATCCTTCTTAGAGAAAGTATTTACATTTAGTTGGAGTTTGTTTTATTAAATTGATAAATGTTTAGCAGAAATGTTTATGCCTTTCTTTGAGGTCTGAGTACTTCTTAAAAGTTTTGATTACTAACATTTTAGTAAGTTAAACTTTTTATTATATATGAAAATGTACATGCAAGAAGAATTAGTTATCTTTTGTTTTATAAAAGATTTGTCACCTCCTCCCTCTAAGTAGAGAACTTCTTGGTGAGCTATAGAGCATGTCATTTGCATAAGTCATTTTTGGAACGTATGTACTGCCTACAGCTGGCATCTGCATGATGGTTTAAATCCTGCTCAGCAATTCCTGAATACCTCAAGTTTGTTTTCCAAATTTGGAATTTTCTTCATGTGTCACTGAAGTTCCTCTTTGGCCCTGAAGTGCTTTCTTTTAACAAAAATATCTTCTCAGTTATTATCATTCCACTTCAAAATACATGTTAGCCACTGTATTATTTCTTTGTGCTGCATGACAAGTTATTGTAAATTTAGCAGCATAGAACAATCCTGATGTCTGCTTGCTTCTTGGGTTAGGAATTGGGCAGGGAGGCTGGGGCTGGCAGTCCTCTGCTGGTTTACAGGCTACACTCAGTCCCTGATTTCCTACAGCTGTGGGACCAGTGCCTATGCTCAGAGAGCTTACTGCAGTCCCCATGGCATCGAAGGGTCAGTGCTGTTCCTCCTGTGGCCCTGAAACCCATGAGAAAGTCCCTTCTAATTGACCAAGATAGGACCCAGCATAAGAGTGATGGGCGTCCTGCCTTCCCTCGTGCCGTCCTTGGAAGGCACAGGCTCCTGCAGTTAGGGTTCCTGGCCCGCCACAGGTGGTATCCACACAAGTAATTCCACCCACTGTCAGGCAGTGTTCTGTGTATAAAGTACACAAGATTCTGTTGGCCATGATAAAAATGAACCTAATAAAGGACAAATACAATAGAAAAGACCCACAGTTCAAGCAATCATGAAAATGCACTATGCGGTTTTACCAGAGGTAGCAGTAATTGTATCTTAGCCTGAAAGGGAAGTGTGAGTGGCATGCCCTGTGAGTCAGGAATTGCCTGGCACAGCAGAAGTCACACTGTTACATAAGAGAGGAAAAGGCAGGCTCAGAAAGCAAGAGGGCAGTCTGGTTCTCAGAATTAGCATGTACCTGCAGTATCACAGTTTTAAAGATGGGTGAACTGGAGACCACGTGGTTCTGTGCAGCTCTGTTTCTGTTCTTTTTAGGTCACTGGTAAACTTTCTAGCGAAAGTTAATTCTAATGCATCCATAAATGCAGTTGTATTACCAAAGTGACTACAATGTTTGTTGTTTTGCCAGGGTAAGAAATTCATTTATAATTGGTTTCAGATGCTTCAGGAGACATTCATCCCTTAGAGTTCATGTGAGTGGTAGCTTTCCAAAGAAGGATACTGTGACCGTCACCTCTGTCAGCTGATGTAGAGTAGCTAATTCATGTGTTTCTCATACTCACCCACTGCTGATCCAGCCTACAAGGCCAAAATGAGAGTGTGTGCCTGAGTGTGTTGGAGGCCCTCCGTACCATGTTGTCAGGAGGGCAGAGAAGACTGCTGAGCGGCAGGCTACAGTGCAGCCTAGATGAGGGGCGGGCTCCGGGCTCCCTGCAGCTCTCCTGCTGTGTTCTGTGCATTCCGTTTCTTACACTGAAGTTGTGTCTTCCACCTCCTTGTCTTTCACCTCTTCCTTCCCTACTCTTTCTCTAAGCCATCTTACCTCACTTAGCCAAGTCAAAGGCTGTAGTAAAGTTAATTTTCCTTGGTCCTGCCCCTTACAGCTTGATTAATGAAAACGTGTGTTTCCTGTGTTGACAAGATACAGTAGCATTTTACTGATGAGTATTTGCCTTTTGTTTGGTAGAGATTTTAGGACTTCATTCAGTATAAATTAAATTTTGTGTACTTTGTTTATGTACTTTTAAGTTTTTTCTTGATAATTTAAAGAAATTATTCTTGAGTGTTTTGTAAATAAAGCAAACAGTTCATTGCAGGTGACTATTTTTTCAAAAGATACAATATTTTTGTGAAAGCCTTGGAAACATAGGCTCATTCCTAAACAGATTCTTTTATGTCAGTCTGATGTAGAGGAGAGCAGTCATAAGTACAACTGAGAAACAGTCACATTTGATGTGTATTAGCAATTTTGGTTTGGTTGTACAAAGTGTTTCTCTGACTGTTTGCAGCCAGCAGGCAAAATTAGTACACACTTGGGTTAGCTGTCTGCTATACACAAGAGCTGATGAGGATGTTTGAGATCATTTTTTGGACTGAGACATGCCACCAGTGGCCAGCCGCATAGAAGGTCCCTTACCGGTAACTCAGTGCTATAACTGTCTTGCCTGCCTCAGGGCCCTTCGTGGCTGTGCTGTCTCGCCCGTAGCCTGGGAGAGCTTGGAGCAAAGGTGAGACGTGAGCCCCTGAGGGATGTACCAACTCTGGGAGCCTGCTCTCTCATGAACAAAACCCTCTAGCCATGTGATCAGACCAGCAAATAAAATGAATCTCCCTCCATGGGTAGATGGCTGAACTCATACCTCTCTGCCATGTACATTTTATTTTCTGCACCTTCTATACCACACCATTTCTGTGCAGTACACGCAAGGAGGTGAAAACTTGAGTGGCCGAGTGCTAGGGCTAAGCCCTGGTCCTACCCATACCTCCTATACATAGGAGTCTCCCACCTGCATGCTGGAGTCATGTGTACCTGTTTCCTGGATACTGGGGTTCTGGGAGGCCCTCTGGCAGTGTCAGACCCAAATATGGTTCTCTAAACTCACCAGCTCTCTGGCTGCCTATTCTCTCTCATCTGTTGCACAGTCCCTGTTTTCTCCCTTACTTCCCTCTGCCTAGGTATCAGAAGTAGTAGAGAGGGTCTGCCTTCCTCTCCATCACGTTGGCACATCCTAAATGTGAGGTAAATTGAAGAGAAGCAAGTGAGCAGACAGACGGGAGGGCTATGCCTACCACACAGCTGTACCCCAGACTCTAGCATGGAGGACCCTTGCTGTTTCTAAGGAAACCATGTTCTCATGCTCACGGGTCTTACTGATCCAGAAGATTTTAATAAACACCCTGTTGCCTGAGAACTATGAGTACAGTGCACTGAGGGGATTTAAACCTATGACCAGGAGACCGTCATCCTTATTCCCCAGAGACTCTGACGCTGCAGGTGTGCTGCATTGAGTCTTGTCACGGGTACAATCAGCCGCTGTCACGTAAGGCTTGGCTTTATTTTAGACACCAGCATTCCAACAAGGAGCAAAACTAAACATCTGACCCCTAGAGTAGCACTGGCAGCCCCCTGGTGTGGGACAGTGGGAAGATGCTGCCATCCTTCCTTTGGGGCAGGCTGGGTCACATAGATCCTTCACAAAGCTGGAAATCTACTGACTGTTGGCCATTTGTCAGGTTGACGACATCCTTGGAGAAGGCAGCGATGACAGCGACAGTGAGAAAAAGAAGCCAGAAGAACAGGACGATGATCAGGAAAGGGCATCTCAGCCCAGAAAGCCCAAGGCACCAGCGGCTCACAGAGAACAACCTCTTGGATCATCCTCATCCAGCGAGAGGAGTGCTGCAGGCAACCGTGGTGCCAGGTGAGGGAGGGAGGGGCAGAGGGACCAGCCTGAACACTGGCCCAGAGGTGCCAGGCACTGACCAGTGTGTTATTGCCCTGGTCTGTATTTCGTTATGGATAATGATGTGTCAGATGTGTCCTTGCCACAGGCAGCAGAGCTAAGGAGAAACCTTCATGAAGGCCCCTTGTATACCTGAGTCTGTTTCATGGACTTTCCCTTTTGCTCTGTTGATTTCTGTCTGCTAATATCAGATGGTGGAGAGGGGAGATACCATGAAATAATTCATATGCAATCTAATACAAAACCCAAAAGCATTAAAAGACTTAGAACAAAAACTGTCAGTCCCCTGAGTTGACCCCTGAGGATAACAATGTCATGATCCCGGAGTTCCAGGCATACACATGGAAACCATTACCCTAGCTGCTTCACTCTTAGTGTGGAGGAGAAAGATAATGCTCCTACCGGTGTAATCCTACCCAAGTATGGGTTGTGGAATTATATAGTGTTCATTACAAATGTAAATTCTTGTACTAAATTTAATAGGGCACCATGGTTTTTTTTTTTTCTTTTAAAGAGAATAAAATAAAACAAAGCAAAACAACAAAGCAGATCAGAGCAAACCATGCAGAAAACACAGGATTTCAAAACAAGACAACAGGAAATCAACAGGCTACCATAATGTCTCTTGTTTTCTTTAAAATAGTTGTCCATATCTTCACATACAATAAGTTAATACAAATCAAAATAGTATGAAAGCAATCAAAACAAAAGAATGAGAGCCTTACAGGCCTTCAAAGCCAGACACTAGGAAATCAGTAATAGCTACCACAGTATCTCTTGTTTTCTTGAAAATAGCTGTGCATACCTTTATATATATTGAAATCAGATAATTGAAAACAGACAAAAACTAATCAAAACCAAGAATAAAAGCATTATTGGACTTAAAAACAAAATGATAAGAAATCATCAGTGTAGGCCACTGTGTTTATATTTCCTTACTTACATTTCTTCTTGGCCTCCCTAGATTTGGTAGTTGTTTCATCTTTTCATTTATTCAACATTTTTCCTTTCCTTGTCCCTAAGAGGGAGAAGTCCCTTCATCGGTAAATCTCACAGTCTCTCTGCCCTCCTTTCCTGCTGTTTTGCTAAATAGGCTTTCCTGCTTTTCTGGTATATTCCCTGTTCCCTTCTTTTCACTGGAGTTCATCTTCAAAAGTTCCTGAATGTCTCAGAGTAAAGGAAAAGCTCACAATTTATAGTTTCAGTCCATCGTCAGCTGGCTCTAAGACAGGCAGCATGGCAGAGGGCCATCATAGAGGAGGAACAGTCCATGGAGGGCAGGCAGAAGGCAACAAGGCTCCCTTTCCCTTTTATCCCATCCAGGCTGCCAGCCTTTTGAGTGGTGCCAGGCACACCTAGGGTGGGCCTTTCCATTGTCCACACCAAGAAAACCAATCACAGGAGGAATTGAGTACCACACACCTTTAATCCCACTGTCATACACCCTACCTTCAGCTATCTCTGAAAAGCCCAACCTCTGAGCATATGATTCTTTGGGGGACATCTACATACAAACCATAATATTCCACCCTTGGCCCCCAAAAGTTTTAGTCCACATCCATTTATGCAAAAGGCTTTTAGTCCATCTCGAAGAATTGAAAAAGTCCTAACAGTTTTAACATTGCTAGAAAGTCCAAGTTCAAAAAGACTCCTCTTGAGAGTTTAGGCAACCTCTTAGGTGAGAGCCTTAGTAGAAATGAAAAGAAAGTTAACATTCAGTGGCACAAGATAAACATTCCCATTCCAGTTAGGGGCAGAGTGGAACAGGAGCAAAGCAGGATAAAATCCAGGAAGGCAGACATTAAGTCCTGCACTTCCATGTCCAGCATCCAGAGTATCTGTGACATAGCGTGAACTCCAGGTAGCCTGGGTGGCTCCACACCTACGGCCCTGTCAGAGATTGTAGCTCCGTAGCTTCTGCCCTGGGCCAGCTCTGCTCACTCCTTGCACTTTTCCTCATGTGACCCACATTCCTGACTCCTACCTTTGGAGTCTCCACCGCACCTTTGACTTCATGCTTACAGCTTTACATACACACTGCTCTCTCAAAGTCTTATTACCTGGCCTCTCAGGCCTCTTCTGAAGCTGAGTGGAACCATTCCTGGCCTCACAATTTGTTTTTTTATTTTCCCCTGGTACCGGGGATCGAACTCACAACCTCGCACTTGCCAGGTATGCACTTATGCCACTGAGCTAAATCCCTGGCCCAACAAATCATGGATCTCTCTGTCTCTCTCTGTCTCTCTCTCTCTCTCTCTCTCTCTCTGTCTCTCTCTCTCTCTCTGTCTCTCTCTCTCTCTCTCTCTCTCTCTCTCACTCTCTCTTTGTACCAAGGAGCAAAACTCACGACTTTGCATTTGCCAAGCGGGCACTTACACCACTGAGCAAATCTCCAGCTCTCTCTTTTTTTTTTTTTTTTTTCTTGTTTCTTGTTTTCTTTTTTTCAGTACCAGGAATTGAACTCACAACCTAGTGCTTGCCAGGCATTTGCTTATGCCGCTGAGCTAAATCCCTGGCCTGGCCCCACAACTCTTACATTCTGTATGCATCTAGAACCAGCACCATGTGGATGACATCAAGGTCTGCTGCCAGCTATAGCAGTAGCCAGGCTTCCTTCTCTCTTGACTATAGGGATTGAGTAGCGTTTGCTGAGCACTGTGAACCCAGTCCTGAGGAACAAATTCCCTAGAGTGTCACCACTGTGGAACATGGAGCTCTGGGGCTCTCTTCTCAAAGCAAAGGCTAAAGTCCTTCCTGCTGATTCTTGTAATGTCATCAGGTTATCTTTTCTAGTGTCCTGTTCCTTTTCAACAAACAAGTTCTCTTCTACTCAATGTTTTCAGGCAATAACTTAACTGGAGCTTGCTTTCTGGCCAAACTCAAAACTTTTAAATCATCCTATGGGCCCTTTGCTCTTGATTCTCAACATAGATATGGCTAAAAGCCCCAACAGTACCCTTGCCACAGCCTAAATGTTAGATAGCTTTGAATTTTCTTCCTCAAAATTAATTAATCTGCTGCCCTTAGTCTCAGGGAACGTCTCTGAACATGAGCAAAATGTAGACAGATTTCCTGCCAAAGCACAACGTCTGTAGTCCAACAGCCAATGCAGTCCATTTTCCCAAGAGAAGCCTTCTAAACCTGGGCTTTACCAGCTGTCAAGAATTTTGCTCTTCTGAGCTCTGACCGAAATCTCCCATCAAGTTCAGCTTGCAGTCCATATTCCAGGGCTGCTGCTTCAGCTAGCATCTCTATACCTTCCCAAATTCTTCCCACAAGCCAGTTCCAGAGCCTTTTTAACCATATAATCAGGTAGCATCATAGCAATGCCCCCTACCTTGGTAACAAAATCTTAGTTTCTTTCTTGTTGCTAGGACAGAACACCCACAAGTTAAAGCAGGAAATGTTTATTTGGGGCTGACAGTTTGTAGAGGTTTTGGTCTGTAGTTGTTTGGCTCCAAGGCTGAGCAGCGTGGCAGAGGGATATCGCAGAAGAGAAACAGCCTATGGCATGCAGCCAGCAGCAGGTTTCCCTTCTTTTCCTTTATATTCCATTCAGGCTCTAAGCTTCCACCCATACCAGTGTGTGGCTTCCATTACCCACACTCAGAACTGTGCTAAGCAGTTACCACACATCTCATAGCCTGCCACCACTAAAAGGCCCCCCTGTGAGTGTATGAGGCTTTGGGAGGACATCCAGATATAAGCCATAACACTTGGAGCTTGTCTGAGAAGCTGAAGGCCATGTCAGAAGATATCTTGGTCCTGGTTTGTGTGTGACTTGTGGGCAGAGTGTAGAGCTCACAGGAGGGAGCCCTTTCACTCAGTCCCTTGTCATCTGGTATCTAGAGCTGTTTTCAAGGCCTATCCTTTCTCAGGGGTATTGGAATATTCATCACATCCTTGACATTGTGAAGTGTTTGTGTTCTTCAGATCAAAATGTAGGGCTGATCACACTACCTCAGTCTGTTGTGTGTGTCCTTATAACCCACCATCTCATCTGAGGAAGCATCCATTTCAGCTGTCTGGTTGGTCCACATCCAAATGCATATCCCAAGTGTCTGATTTAGAAGTTGATGTTGAACACCTTCTCTCATGCACTACGTGATGTGGACTCTTTACCTTCCTGGTGGCCCATGTTGACCCCTGAGGAATAGGGATGAGAGAGTACTGTCAGCAAATGCACAAAACTTGCAAGGAAGCAAGGACAGTGCTCACCACAAAGCATGATGTACCAGATAGCACCATAGGTTTTCTGTTTGACTCTTTTCTTTATTTGTTGAATCAGTTCACTCTCTGGCATGGCTTTTAGACAGTTCTGTGGATGATACATAACAGTTCAAAAAGAGTATGGCTGGTTCAAGCAGCCCGGTTTCAGAACAAAATTTGTCCTGAAATTACAGCAGCAGAGGGAGATGGTGCCAGCTGGTCACTGTTCCATTTGTAAGGATGATCAAGGTGAGCTGATTTGCAGCTCTCAGGTTTAGCAAGGAATTGAAATTTCTGTTTGGCAGCCACTCTGTGTTCACCAGTTAGGAAGCAGCACTTCTCCTCCGTTGCTATGCTGCTCATTTGTATCCGGGGAGACCTTAACTGCTGTGTAGGGTGATCCCATATAACGTGACATAAGGTCTTCCTCAGCTGTGCTTTCCTTCTGTGCAGAGCTGGGCTTTCGTACCTTTGAAAACTTTTAAGATGAAGGGAGCTGAGTGCTTCTGTTGGGCAGTGCTGCCACACGGTGTATACTGCAGTAATTTGGGCATGTCCTGGTTGTAAATGTCTTAACCTGCTATTGTTTTCTCAGTTTTAAAAAATAAAAAAAAACCTCAAAAATATTTTCCACTACGATCAGTGAGGGGCAGTGGACATGGGTTTGACCAGTGGAGACTGAGCATTGCAGGGAGCCCTCAGGAGTCCAGAACAAGGGTTCATTCACATCCCTGGTTTGTCTCTGATTT